CATCATCATTGTTTCAAGGGTGTTCCTATGATTGTGCAGGATATTTTTGACTTTCAGTGCAGCACTGTAAAGCGAACTGGCAGAGCGCACTGTGGCTCAGGAAGAAGTTGTAAGAATTCTCCAGTAATTTTCCCTGTAAATAAGGAATACAGATCTGTGACAGCTGGGTATAAACTTATATATTTATATATATAAAATAATATATGTGGGGTATAAACAATCACATTTGTCTAAAAATAACCATCATTAAGGTCATTTAAATTATGACATATCCTTTGCTGGAATAAACACTACTAGTGATGCTTTGTATGGAAAGCATTAGATTCTGCTTTAATCTTTGCCGAAATCTAAACTAGTTATGCTATTTCAGTCTTTTCATTTTCTCCGTAATTAATTTTTTATATATAATTTATACTTTCTGACTTATTAAAAGTGATATAGCTTCTTGCTGAGATACATTTTAATCTCATCTGATAAGGAATAATTTACAATTCTTCTTCAAGTTAACCGTTAGGTTGCAAGGTGAACTGGTAAAATTAAACCATAGAAGCAGTCTGCCTGCATTGTATCCTTCTTTTTATGCTATTCCACACTCCTTTTCCTCCCACTGTGCTCCTCTTTATTCCACCAAGTATACTGGGTATATTGTCCCCAAGGCCAGTGTGAGAGAAGCAGGGAGGCAAGTCCTGCTGATGGGCTAGAGAAAAGCGGAAAGAGCTGGCCTTACTCTTCCCCTTTCACAGTGAAAAGCAGCAAAGGGTGCGATGAATGTGGCAGAAAAGTGACCTTTCTCCCCACTGCTTTCCTCTCATTTGTGACCTCCTCTCTCTCGACCTCTTCCCCATACCCCATGCTAGCAGGCCACTGTGGCTCATGTTAGTAGCAGAGGTTCTGTGTGAGCACCTTCCTTCTCCCCTTTATTCCCCTTGTGTCTTTGCTCACTGTCATGGTTCTCCCGTTACAGTCCCAGAGCTCTGCAGGCCCTTTTCCTAGGAAGCAATGGCACCTCCTTGTGCTTGAGCCATCCTGTCCACTGTCACCTCCCCTAGTGCAAATGAGTACCTGAGTAGTTCAAGGTACCTCTGTTGAGGAAGTTTAGAAATGTAATTTTAATTTCAGCCACGAGGGGACCTCCATAGTTTACTGTTCGTTTGATACCTTAGTCCAATACAAACACACTTCTGCCAAAACACAGCACCTCCCTCCTGGGTGAGGATCTGTATCCCCCCTCTCATATCCTTAGAATCTGTGTCCAGACAGACTTTATATTCCATGGCTTAAAATCCACATGGTTGTTCTTGTGTTTCTCTAGAAGCTTTAGATGCCCCTTCCAAGTCATGAACTTTTCCCAGCATCTGGATTCTTCAGGAGTTATGCAATGGGGTGCTAACAGCTGAGCTGGTTGGGGGACTGAGAAACAGAAAAATCATTTCTGCACATGCTGATCCACAGATTGTGAGCAAGACATGTGGGGTAGGGGATGGCTGAGGCATAGTTTCTGTCACTTTATATCTTAATAGCTAACCACATTATCATCTTAAAAATCAGAAGCTGGGTTTGGGAAGTAAAAACAGATTGCTGCATCATTTTTCATGTGGCATTCATTGAGCAGATATCCAGAGCTTAGGTCAAAAAGTCTCCAAGTCTTGCATAGAGGAATTTGGCAAATAGCCTATGAAATTTAATCTGAAAAATAAACAGCTCCCACCTACTGCAAGGATTTCTTTCATTTCACGTAACCTGGCACAGGAATCTCATTCTCCTCTTGCATGCAGTAACTTTGCAGTTGGTTAATTCGTTTTTGTTGTGTCTGTCTTAAAATGGGACGTGAGTGTAAGGCACTAACCTACCTTCTTAGCTTATCGAGCAGCAAAGAGGCATCAGCTAAAACGCAGCTGGGTGCACGGCCTGTTTGTGCTTGGGGGCTGGTCGTGGGTAAAGCACTTGCTCTCCACCTCTACTGCTGTCTGCCAGCAAGGCTGGCCCAGGTCCTGCTGCATTTGCCCCTTCTTCTCCCCAGGGAGCCACTTCTGATCCTCGCCCTTCCCGTGAGGAGTCGATGAAGCCCGCACTTCCCACGTGGGGCTGCGATCTTAGTTTCAGCCACTGGAGGGAAGCGTAGACTTTCCCAGGAAAGGCTTGCGGGAAAGGTAGGATCTCCCGTCGGATGGGCTGATCCTTTGAGAGACACAGGCAAGTTTTCAGGACCGTGCCTTTCTTCAAGTCCTGGAAATGGGCCTTCAGGCATGCATGTTTTCTGAAAGTTTTCCCATCTTCTGTTTTTTTTTTCCCCCAAAATTATATCAGCTGTCCAGAAAATTATAGTTTCTTGTAAACATTACATTGCTTTTATTGGTTTTATCTGGAAATAACAGGTGAACCACAAGACACTACTTTTCATGTCGTCTTGCTCAGGTTGCAGTTTGAAGATGTGGCTGACATGTGCCCAACTGTCTGAGAAACTGCACAGGCACAGCAGATATTTTTATGTGCTAAGCAGCTAAAACCAGGGCTTCTCCAGGAGCATATTTAAACTCTTGTCTGTATGAAAGCTTTCAAACTTGTTATAAATGTCCACAGCACTTTTTTTTTTTTTTTTTTTTTGTCTTTGTACGTGGCTTTGATATCTGATATTAATGCAAACTAAAGGAAATAAAAATAGGCAATATGTTGATGATAACACTGTTTAGAAAAGGATTTCATGGGAATGATTTTTCTTTTTGCCAATATAAATAAAGGCCGAAAGTTATTTTTGTCAGGAGTGTGTGAAACTTGAAACCACAGCAGTTAAGAGGTGACACCAATATGAATAAGAACAAGGGAGATAAACATGACTTAATAGCCCTGGAGGTGGGAACGTGAGCTGGTGGTTAGAGGCGCAGGCAGCAAACCTGACGCACTCAGTTCTGCCTCTGACTCACTAGATGACTGTAGTCAACTCATTTACTGTCTGTGTATCAGTTTGCCCATCTGTGAAATAGGGACAAGCATATCAGCATTTTATCAGATTTAAATTCAGTCAGGCATCAGTAGTGAACGGGGACAGCACCTTACAGCCCAGGATGTGGCATTTCCCAAGTGTCAGGTACAAGATGTTAGCATTTTGCCTGTCTAACCCCAGGCCAGGAATCCCCACCCCGCATGTTAAAGCAGTTGTACATTTACAAATTAATGTGGTCATAGCTGAGGGCCTGAAGAATCTCTTGATACTTCTGGTAGTGTTTAAAATCTTAAAAATCATCAGGTTATTTTTTTTTTTTTTACTATTAGTAAAATATAGTTATTTTACTATTAGTAATTGTGAAGTGATGGTCTCAGAGTTGGTGATCTGTGAACAGTTGCTGGAAGTAAGGCTTCCTCATCACGGATCACATATAACCCTGTAATCGTAAAATCAGCATACACAGAGGTGCCTAAAAGATGCTGGAAGCTGAATTGCCTTTCTGCTCCCAGAAATTCCCGTCTGGCCCATGGCCATGTGCATTTAACTCTCTCCTGTGAATGAACTCTCTTTCCATGTTGCTTGTCTACAGAACTGAAGCTACGATAGTTACTTATGTTGGTTAAATGGGTCCAACTTGTGTGTGTGATCTTTTATGCTTATTTAAAACTAAGTACTTTGTTTTCTGTTGTTTCTATAAATTCACCCAGGTGAATGTGTCTTCTTATGAAGCCATCAGTTAAAATCACACTTCTCATTTTTCTACTACGATTTTACATATGGTCTTTGAGAGAATGGTGGCAAGGGCTTCTACACTGCAAACCAAATCGATCGCAAGACATGGCAAAATTAAATCCACCACAAGATGTGGCAATTTAAGCTGAAAGTTCAGATCGGCAAAACTAGTGGCTAGGCATGGCAGTAAAGGATGCCTGAATTTTCGCCTATGGAGCTGCCTGGGTTGCTTTGCTCCCCTGCCTTCCCAAGTTTTGGGACATGCGAGCAGCACGGCAGCAGGCTCACAGGGACACACTGTGTGCTGCCAGGTGGACAGGGCCTGACTGTGGGCAGGATTGGGACTGTGAAACAGTGCACTCCAAGGAATCACATGGCTTTGGGAGGGCTAACCCATCCTTACGGCGACTGGTGTAGGACCTAGGGGTGCCAAGCGAGCTCAGCCCTTTCCTTGGGAGCTCGCAGGCAGGAGAGAGCAGATGGCTGGAGGCAGATGGGCGAGCACAAGGAAACAAAGAGGCAAATGAACAAAAAAAGAAAAAAAAAAAGACTTGAGGATTCAGCAGTCGGTTCAAAATTTATTAAATTCACTTGTCACCTCAGCTGATGCAGCCCTACGGGCAGGACACCTTTCCTGTTCAAAAGGTCAGTATCTACCATTGAAACGCGTGCTACAACTCAGCAGGGGTTATGTTTTCCGGGGAGAGTTGGAGTTCAGTGTGCAAGAAACAGGCAGGGAGGGGGATGTGGGGGAAATCCATCCAGGAAGGGAGGCCGGGGCGGTTGGGCAGCGCGTGGGGCTCCAGAGCAAGCCCCTCGGCGCAGCCGGGCGCGCGCTGGTACTCGCAGATCCCCCGCCCCGGAGCCTCCCACCGCAGGCAGCTGCGGACAACGACCCGCTGCCCCGCGCCCAGGGCGGGACGAGCCGCCGCGCAGCCGCCGTGCCCGGGCGGCCGTTACCCG